GTCTACCTTATGAGGTGCATGTATCAATCAATATGCCATATACTGTTGGGGTTTGGTGCCGTTTTCTGCATGGTGCAGTATGTGGTTGCGATATTCAATTGATGATGAAACTAGGTAATATGGGCCAGGGAATCCATCCATCCATTTTCTGAACCCGCTTGTCCATGTAGGGTCACGGGGGGTTGGTGCTTATCTCCAGCGGTCAACGGGCAATCAGGCAGGGTACACCCTGGACAGAGAGCCAGTCCATCGCAGGGCAACACAGAGACACACAGGACAAACAATCACACACACACACTCCCACCTAAGGACAATTTAGACAGACCAATTAACTTAACAGTCATGTTTTTGGATTGTGGGAGGAAGCGGCCAGGGAACCGCCACTCTATAATAATTTGACACCAAGGCAAAAATATGGTGTAATGTGGCCACGGTCATGCAAAGAGTATTTGTCCACAGTCTGGTTCATCAGTAACTTTCTGCCCAAGACACAGGTTGTGTTGGCCTGACACCAGGAGGAGGCGATAATGAAAATCTCTTGTATCCTTATCAACTTCAAGGTTTCCTCACAAGACATCCCTACAGGAGACAAGACTTTTATCTAACTCCCATTTAATAAAAATATCGAATTTGCTGCGTCAGCTCTGAGGAAGTTTTGCAGTCGGCAAATGAAACTTGTCAGCAAGGTAAAAAAAAAATGTTTTCTGTGTTTTAAAAAGAACCCAAAAATAAAGTTTCTAAAAAAGTTTGATGAGGGCCCAGAGAAATTTAGTTTAGTTATCATTGTTTTAGTCAAAGCTCCGGCAGACTGTTTCTGTGTGTGTGTGAGAGAGAGCGAGCGAGAGAGAGAGAGAGAGAGAGAGAGAGATGTCTCAAGAACCAACTGAGTACAGCCATGTTCAGTTTCACTAAAGTTGGGTAGCCGTGCCAGCCATTTTGAACCATCCAATATTCAACGCCAAAATTTAGACAAAATTGATGCATAATGACTAGTTCCAACAGTGTGTGTGGTATGCAACATTCTACTACCAGGACATCACATTTTGAGGCAATCCTAAAAACAAACCAAGTTATTATTTTTTTTTGTTTTCTAAGATCTGATGGCTGTAGTAGCTAACTTTATTTAAAATGACCACATAAATTAACTAGCTAAATTCTAATGGTCCTTTCTGAAGGTTTCGTAAACACACACAAAAATTATCAACTTTTCAGCAACCAGCAATAAATAAAATTATTTGATCTACTCAGAAACCATTGGTTTATGAAAACTCTCAGGTTAAATGTTTAACAATCATGTGATTTTCAAATAAACACGAGCCGATAGGCAACAGTTTTCTGGTGTTTCTTAGTCTTCTCTACTGACATGTTTCTGGTTTTGCTTAGTAACATTAAGGCCAGAGGGCAGATCATGAAAACTCTTACAAACATGGGGATTTTAGTCCAGGAAAGTTATACAATTATCAACTTTATTAATGTCTGATTGTATTTTAGCTGTGTAGCCTCCGGATATGGCCTGTTTTTCAATCTACAGCAATGACCTCTTCAGTATCGGGTCACATGGAGACATAAGTCTTAACTGAGGCTTTAATCTACAAGAAAGATGCTGGGCTGCTCAATGTCCCTCCAAGCTCCCTCTTATCCCTCTTATAAGCTTTGCTTCACAGGACAAGACGGATGAACTCATTATTAAATCATATAATGAATAAGATGAGTAAACAGTCATATGGTTCACATCATATTGGTCAAGGTGTAGGGTAGTATAAGCACCCAAAATACATACATATGCTAATCCAAAGCTGTAACACCTTAAGTGGACACCAGAGGGCGCTCCAATGCTGGTCTGGATCAGATGGTGGATTACAATGATGAACAAGTCTGGTGACTGTGGGTGCAGCTCGTTTACTAAACTACAACATGTGTTTAGATACAACCATTATCATAATAATATACGTTTATGAGTAAAATAAGTTTATATTTCAAACAGTAAACAGACACGTGTTGATTTATTTTAGTTTTGAAAACAAAACAAGTGAGACATCATGACTGGATTACTGTAATTCATTATTATCAGGAAGTCCACAGAATGTATGTTTATGTTTATTCATTTAGCAGACGCTTTTATCCAAAGCGACTTACAATTTATAACCTATAGGGCATGTTGTGATCTGTGGGGGAAACCGGAGTGCCCGGAGGAAACCCACGCATGCATGGGGAGAACACGAAACTCCACGCAGAAAGGCCGCAGCCGAGCCGAGTTTCGAAACCTGCAACCTTCGTGCTGCGAGGCAACAGTGCTAGCCACTGCGCCACCATGCAGTCAAGTTAAAAGTACTGTGTATGTAATGTAGTCCAAAGTCTTCAGCTTGTCCAAAATGCTGCAGCTAGAGCTCTGATGAGAATTAAAAAGAGAGATCATATCTCTCTTGTCTTAGTTTCCCTACATTGGCTACCTGTTAAATTCAGAATAGATTTTAAGATCCTCCTTCTCACATATGAAGCTCTTAATAATCAAGCTCCATCATACATCAGTGATCTGCTTGTTCCATACGTTCCTAACCAAGCACTTCGCTCTCCGACTGCAGGTTTACTGGTGGTTCCCAGAATATCTAAAAATAGGATGGGAGGCAGATCTTTTAGCTATCAGGCTCCTCTCCTGTGGAACCAGCTCCCAGCTTTAGTCTGTGAGGCAGACACCTTGTCTACTTTTAAGACTATGCTTAAAACATTTTTATTTGATAGGGCCTACACAGGTCCTTCTCAAAAAATTAGCATATTGTGATAAAGTTTATTAGTGTCTGTAATGTACTGATAAACATTAGACTTTCATATATATTAGATTCATTACACACAACTGAAGTAGTTCAAGCCTTTTATTGTTTCTAATATTGATGATTTTGGCATACAGCTCATGAAAACGCAAATTTTCTATCTAAAAAAATTAGCATATTTCATCCGACCAATAAAAGAAAAGTGTTTTTAATACAATTAAAGTCAACCTTCAAATAATTATGTTCAGTTATGCACTCAATACTTGGTCGGGAATCCTTTTGCAGAAATGACTGCTTCAGTGCGGCGTGGCATGGAGGCAATCAGCCTGTGGCACTGCTGAGGTGTTATGGAGGCCCAGGATGGTTCGATAGCGGCCTTAAGCTCAGCCAGAGTGTTGGGTCTTGTGTCTCTCAACTTTCTCTTCACAATATCCCACAGATTCTCTATGGGGTTCAGGTCAGGAGAGTTGGCAGGCCAATTGAGCACAGTAATACCATGGTCAGTAAACCATTTACCAGTGGTTTTGGCACTGTGAGCAGGTGCCAGGTCGTACTGAAAATCTGATTATTTCACAAATCATTTGACAAACGTGTTCAAGTCTGTACTGGATATATGCAGATTCATTGCAGGGTTTGAAGCATGGATCCCCGTTTCTGTGAGTGCAGCAGCTGTTTGTGCAGCAGGTGGATGGAGACGTGCTCGTTAAGAAGATTAATGTGATGATGCGTGTGAAATGTTGAAATGGAATCTAGAAACCATTCTTTGTATCTGAGAGAAATTGTGAAGTCTGGGTTGTAAAAGTGAATTGGCTGTTTATTTAGTAAACTACCGATTTGTTTATTTAAAAACCCTCCGACGCAATCTGTGGCATGTCTACGCACCCTATGTGTGGAGGTTCTCGTTCGATCCAGGGGGTCGAAGGGACAATGCCGGTGAAGTGAACTTCTGATATCAGGAACCTGTAGATTAGCTCCGATAGGACTCGTCTAGTCTGAGATCCCTCCAGGTGACGGCATGAAGCTGGAATGCTTGTTTGCGTCTGAAGCTTGGTTTATGCTTGACGCATAAGCGAGGTTTGCACGGCTCAGCGCGGCAAAATTGCGTCATTTTAACAACCACGCCCCTCCACCGCGCCTCCAAACGGCCCAAAATTTCTGCACCGCGCACCTAGGAAATTTTCTAACCACGCGGATGGTCGGACACAGAAAAACATGGCGGACTGGAGAGAACTAGTATGGCAGAGGTTCGTAAATACAGACTTTTGTATGATTCAGCTCTCAAAGATCACCGTGATCAACATGTTGTTAATAATTCTTGGAGAGAAATAGCTCGCACTGTCAGAAAAGATGAGGGCGTTGTCAAAAAATGCTGGAATGCCATGTTGTAAACAACAGTAATTTCTACTTCTACTATGGTGTAGTGTTAAATGCATGCCGTAGAGCTCCATGCTGCCCCGTTCAGTTTGGGAGAATATTGGCTCACCGCAGAGACAAGCTGCATGAACCATAAACGCTGCAAGTTGTGAAGCGTGTTCCAGCCGCGAGCCGCATCACCAAGCAGAAGGTAAATGCGTCAAGCATGAACCAAGCTTAAGGCTGGTTTGGGCTGTATCAGCTTGCAGCATTGCAGAGGCTTTGACTGGAGGTCAAAGGAGATGGTTTCAAAAATGCTTGTTCCCGAAATGGCCGGTTTGAGAGTCAGCTGGAAACTGAATTAATCGGGAAGTAATTCCTGTTTTAATAAAACACAATGTTTATAAGTTTCGGCAAGTTTGGCAAATCAGAATTTGACACGTTTCAAGCGCTTTACAAAACATTCCTTAGAAGACACGCTTTGTTCAGATACAAAGATGTCTTAAAACACTTATGTGAGGTGAACATTACATTAAGGAGTATCTTATTGTAATGTGTATGAGTGTCAATATTGATTATCTTGTTAAATCAAGCACATTCTGATCTGGTGTAGATAAGGTCTGAAATGGATCATTGTACAATATTAATTTTAATGCTATCATTGATTTAAGCATAGACTTTGCTTCTTTAGGGACCATAAACACACTTCGCATTAATTCAGACAGTCAGGTATATAGTTTATAAATTAATTTAATTATTTTTCCTAAACTAATAATTTATACATGACAAGAATGAATAATGAGATGTGAGGTGGTGTGATGGAAGCTAGATGTTTTAGCAGAACCTTCTTTGTATCTGAGAGAACTCGTGAAATCTGGGTTGCAAAAAAATGTGTTGTTTATTTATAAAGGTCATCAGATGCAAGTTGTCATGTCTACAATACCCTTGTGGAGACCCCCAGCAGATCCAGACTGTCAGAAGTTGGGTAGACCTTGACCCCAAGGTATCCGAAGCCTGTAGATTAGCTCCGATATGACCCGTCCGGTCTTGAGATGTCTCCAGGTCACAACAGGAAGCTGGAATGCTTGTCAGCGTCCAAGGTGGATGTTTGGCTCTTAAAAGAGCCGTTTGGCTGTGTCAGCTTGTAGTGCGCAAAGAGGCTTTTGACTGTATGTCAAAAGAGATGTCTCGAAACTGCTTGTTCCTGAATTGGCCGGTTCGAGAGTCAGCTAGAAACTGAAATTATCGGGAATTCTTGTTTTAGTAAACCACAATGTTATGAGTTTTGGTCAAGTTTGGCAAATCAGAATTTGACACGTTTGAGTCTTTACCAACATCCCTCAGAAAGCCATGCCTTCTTCAGATACAAAGATGTTTTAACACTTTGTGAATGAGAATCTTTATAACTCTTATCTGAGGAGAATAATAACCTTAATGAGTAATGTAATGTGTATGAGTGTAAACAATGATTCACTTGTTAAATCAAACACATACTGATTTGTGAAATAAATGGGTCATTGTAAGAACAATATTCATTCATTGATTTATGCACAGGTTATTCTAACATTTTATTTAAACATCTTGTTCACACAAACACACAAGGGTTTTTCCTGGCTCAAATTGAGGCTCAGGTGGCACCATCCTGACCATGCATACTCTGTGCATTCAACTGCCTCACTTTTGTAAAGGCAAAATATTTTTTGTTACGTGTTCTAGTCTAAGCTTCTGTTGATTAATAGAATATTCCATTTGATGTTTCAAGTGAAACAAAACTGGTTTGCTGCTAAAAAATATGAAATAAAACAACAAAATTATCAGGCTGAAATAACAGACTCTTATTATAAAAGGCTCAATAATATGCATTAGATTGGTGTTTAGTTCCCTTTTTCCATCTGATATTTGTACTTAAAAATATTTTTTAATATTTGACCTATATTTCAGTAACATTTTAGGTTTGTATTAATAACAATCATCTTAGTCAAAATAACACATAAATATATCCAGTAAAATATAATGCATTTCATTAACATGCATTTGTATTGGAAATGGTAATAACATTTAATTTCTGCTGCTAACAATGTAACGGTGACATGTCTATTATGTAGGGGTTGGCAATAATCCAGTTTAAATTATGTTCAAAGATAGACGCGTTTGTGAATTATATACTACCAAGGCTTGCCGTACTTCCTGCTCCTTGTGTGGAGCAGACTTGCAGCAGTCTTGCAGCAGTAATGTGACTCGTATCTGCAGCGGTTCTGATCCATAGCGCTGCAGGATGCAGAATAATGCAGGATTGTGGGGACTTTTCATCCGCTTGTAGAGTTTAGTCTTTCTTATCTTAGGTGTGTTCTTGCTGTGTTGTGGTTCTAATTCCATGCTGTCGGGGTTTTTTTTAAACACAGAAAGTTTCGTTACCTGTTTTCCCGCGCTACGTTTCGTCTGCGGCTGCAGACTTCCTCAGGCTGACGCTGATGGAGTCACTTCCTTCTCCGTTTATCCGCAAGCAGCAGAGGATGTTGCTTTCTGCTGCCCGCTCTCCCCTCTCCGACGATGCAGTCCCATGCGTGGTCCAATGTGTAAACTCCATCGTCCCTGTTCATGGTCCCACATCCACGTCTCCTTATCTTGATTGCTTCTTTAATCCATCGTTTGCATTTTTGTTGTTCGGTGTTTATGATCCGTGTGTTGTCCCAGTCCATTATATGGTTTTCTCTTATGCAGTGATCTGTTACAGCTGACTTCTTTATTGTACTTTTTGCTTCTTCTTTTGCTGCTCTTGTGTTTTCGATTTGCCTCTTTCTCGCACTCCTTTCTATGTTCTATTGTTCATGTGTTGAGTTGGCGTCCGGTTTCTCCTATGTATGTTTTATTGCAAACTTTGGGACAACACAAGGATAATAAACACCGAACAACAAAAATACAAAAGATGGATTAAAAAAGCAATCGAGATAAGGAGACGTGGATGTGGGATCATGAACAGGGACGATGGAGTTTACACGATGGACCGTGAATGGGACTGCATCGTCGGAGAGGGGAGAGCGGGCAGCAGAGGGCGACAACGTCCTCTGCTGCCCGCGGATAAACGGTAGGGCTGTAGCGAAGCCTCGACGAAGTCGATGACTCGATTCTAAAAATTTGTCGACGTCAGATCCGGAAGTCGACGCACCGCGCCCACTTGTTGCATCCCCAGGAGTTTGTAAATAGAGGAGGAATCTGCCTGTTTTTCCTCTAGTTCGCCCTCTTCTCCGCCTTCACTAACATCTCCGCCAAATACCGAAGACCCGGAACAACGTCCGTCCACTACTAGATTATTTTCCTGTTTTGCCCCTTCGTCTCCCGGCAACGGGCAACAACTTCCGGGGTCAGATGCGCTGCTTCGTGTCTATCGCAGATGTAGAAAATCACCGGGAGCGCTTCTCCCTTCATTAAGGAGCTTCTTTCAGACATGAGGAGAGCTGTTTTGGTGGTAGCAGTCTCTCCTCCGTGCTGGTCTGTTTGCTGCTGGGTGTTTTTGGTTTATTTAAACTTGGTAACTTGAACTTAATGTTGGTAAAGCTACTGTTAGCATCTTCGCTAACAGCTTCTTGCGTTGGGATAAGCTGTTACGTTTTGGTTTAGAGTTCATCTTTTTTGTGGTGCAGATCTCCCTTTTATTACATTTAGAGTGTTGTGGGTTTTTGGTTTAGTGTAAAATATCACCTGAGTTTGGTTTAACCCGTAAGACCACTCGCCTCACGCACATAAGTGACCAAAACAAAGCAGCATGGAGACACTCCATCTTCTACCACCTCTCAGGCAGCAGCCTGCTCTCCCAAGTTCTACACGTCACCAGAACATAACCAACCGCAACACAATAAAAGCAGTGTCATACAAAATGGAAGGCCTGTAGTGTTTATTCTCTTACAGTAAGAATTTATCCATTTTTTTGAGGAATTTATTTGAGATTTTCTGGTTTTTGTTAATTGTGCAATAGAAAAATAATCAATAGATTAATTTTCTAAATAGTCATTAGAATAGTCGACTATTCGATAAAATAATCGTCAGAATAATCGTTTTAAAAATAATTGTTTACCCCCAGCCCTAATAAACGGAGAAGGAATAGACGACACCATCAACGTCAGCCTGAGGAAGTCTGCAGCCAAAGACAAAACGTAGCGCGGGAAAACAGGTAACGAAACTGTTTCTGTGTTTTAAAGAAAAGAACGACAGCATGAAATTAGTCTTAGTTTTACGATTATCCTATATTTTTCTGTGCGCCACTTGATCGTGAGACTGCTATCCATTAACTTTAGCATTAGCCAATCTGCGTGTAGCTGCACTTTTGATCCCAAACTTTGGACCGGTTCTGCCTTTGTACCTTTGCTCGTTCCTTTATTTTCCTCCACAGCATCCAGATTACCACACTGTGTGCCAGTAAAAAGCATTTTTCTTACACGTAACTTACTTTTGTTCAATAAAGTTCTGGGGAAAATAGTAATTCAAAGATGTTGTACCAGTGCTACGTCTAAAAATAGACAGACACGCACAGACAGTTTTTTGTCGCACTGTACAGCTCTGCTGTGATAGGGAAGAGCCTGGGGGAAATCAGGACGTCAATAGCACCAACCATAGATATGTAGCAACTAGCGAGAAAAGCCATTTTTGAACTCCTTTTTCTGCAGCGGTTTTAGCGCTTTTCAGTGCACCGCTGCTGATACAGTGCCCCTGTAGAGGTGCAATGCTGCAACTGCAGTTAAAATAACATCCATATAGCTGGGGGCAGAGTGAAATCAGGCTGGGGCGGCAAAAAATTAGCTGGAGGCGGCCGCCACGCAAATTTGAACGGAGGAAAAACCCTGATCAGACACACATACACACATTTATATATATATTTAAAGGTCGTGAAAACACAGATAGTATTTCATGGTTGTTAAAATATACAAACTTTAGTTTCCTATCACTACATGGCAACCCACATAAACTGAAACTGCAGTAACCAAATCTGACCACAGGATGTCACTGTTATTCAATACTTACATAGTTTACCTTTAAATAAAACGTTTGGCTGAATCTCGCTCTATGGCTCAAACCTAGAAAAGGTATCTCACTTGTGTTGAGTTTTCATGTGATGAGTCAAGTTACCACTCTGAGAGAAAGATTTCCCACAGGTTTCACATTTAAATGGTTTCTCACCTGTGTGAATTCTCATGTGTGGTATCAAGTCAAACCTCTGTGAGAAATATTTATAACAAATTTCACATCTATATGGTTTCTCACCTGTGTGAGTTCTCATGTGTGTTGTCAAGTGGCCACTGTCAGTAAAACTTTTACCACAGGTTTTACACGGATATGGTTTCTCACCTGTGTGAGTTCTAATGTGTTTAGTCAAGGTACTATTCAGTGAGAAACATTTCCCACAAGTTCCACATTTAAATGGTTTCTCACCTGTGTGAGTTCTCATGTGTGCTGTCAAGGCAGTATTCAGTGAGAAACATTTACCACAGGTTTCACATGTAAATGGTTTCTCACCTGTGTGAGTTCTCATGTGTTCTGTCAAGGAACTATTCCGTGAGAAACATTTATAACAAGTTTCACATCTAAATGGTTTCTCACCTGTGTGTGTTCTCATGTGTGTTGTCAAGTCACCACTCTGTGAGAAATATTTATAACAAGTTTCACATCTATATGGTTTCTCACCTGTGTGAGTTCTCATGTGTCTTGTCAAATGACTACTGTGAGTAAAACATTTACCACAAGTTTTACACGGATATGGTTTCTCGCCTTTGTGAGTTCTAATGTGTTTAGTCAAGGTACTATTCAGTGAGAAGCATTTCCCACAAGTTCCACATTTAAATGGTTTCTCACCTGTGTGAGTTCTCATGTGTGTTGTCAAGGTATTATTCAGTGAGAAACATTTATAACAAGTTTCACATCTAAATGGTTTCTCACCTGTGTGAGTTCTAATGTGATTAATCAAGGAACTATTCCGTGAGAAACATTTACCACAAGTACCACATCTAAATGGTTTCTCACCTGTGTGAGTTCTTATTTGATGACGTAAAGAACAGATTTTAAATGATCTCGTACCTCTGTGAACTCTCTTGGGTTTCTTTAGTTTCTGACTGTCTACACTGTCTCTGTGATCTTTGGTTTGCTGCTGTCTTTTATTTTGTATCAGTTCTTCATTGCTGTTTGGTTCTGAGTTTTTATTCCTGCATCCATGATGATCTTGGTGCTCAGCTTCAGTAGAACTCTGACTCAAGGGTTGGTTCCTGTTTGGTTCACAGCAGTCTGCTTCTTCAGGAGAAGTCACCATGAAGGTAACATTTTCCTGCTTCAGAATGAACTGCCCTTCATGCTGATGGATACAGAGTTCCTGCTGTTCCTCTTTGATCAGTGGAGGTTCTGGTTCCTTCTGATCCAAACTGGAGGTTTTCTCCTGGTTAGAGGGCTGCTGGTCAGTCAGAACCTCCTTTTCCCAGACATGATGCTGTGGAAGTTCTGGACAGACTAAAAGACAAAAGAAATGTTGATTAATATAAAGGTTTGGGCCATCAATTGACAAAACAATGAATCATGATCAGTAGCATGAGTTTCATAGTTACAGTGGGGCAAAACAGTATTTAGTCAGCCACCGATTGTGTAACTTCTCCCACTTGATATGATGTCAGAGGTCAGTAATTTTCATCGTAGGTACACTTCAACTGTGAGAGACAGAATGTGAAAAAAAATCCATGAATTCACATGGCAGGATTTTAAAGAATTTATTTGTAAATCAGGGTGGAAAATAAGTATTTGGTCACTTCAAACAAGGAAAATCTCTGGCTCTCACAGACCTGTAACGTCTTCTTTATGAAGCTTTTCTGTCCTCCACTCGTTACCTGTATTAATGGCACCTGTTTGAACTCATTATCTGTATAAAATACACCTGTCCACAGCCTCAAACAGTCAGACTCGAAACTCCACAATGGCCAAGACCAAAGAGCTTTCGAAGGACACCAGGAAAAGAATTGTAGACCTGCACCAGACTGGGAAGAGTGAATCTACAATAGGCAAGCAGCTTGGTGTGAAAAAATCAACTGTGGGAGCAATTATCAGAAAATGGAAGACATACAAGACCACTGATAATCTCCCTCGATCTGGGGCTCCATGCAAGATCTCATCCCGTGGGGTCAAAATGATGATGAGAACGGTGAGCAAGAATCCCAGAACCACACGGGGGGACCTGGTGAATGACCTGCAGAGAGCTGGGACCACAGTAACAAAGGTCACCATCAGTAACACACTACAACGGCAGGGAATCAAATCCTGCAGTGCCAGACGTGTTCCTCTGCTGAAGCCAGTGCATGTCCAGGCCCGTCTGAAGTTTGCCAGAGAGCACATGGATGATACAGCAGAGGATTGGGAGAATGTCATGTGGTCATATGAAACCAAAGTAGAACTTTTTGGTATAAACTCAACTCGTCGTGTTTGTAGGAAGAAGAATACTGAGTTGCATCCCAAGAACACCATACCTACTGTGAAGCACGGGGGTGGGAACATCATGCTTTGGGGCTGTTTTTCTGCTAAGGGGACAGGACGACTGATCCGTGTTAAGGACAGAATGAATGGGGCAATGTATTGTGAGATTCTGAGCCAAAACCTCCTTCCATCAGTGAGTGCTTTGAAGACGAAACGTGGCTGGGTCTTCCAACACGACAATGATCCCAAACACACCGCCCGGGCAACAAAGGAGTGGCTCCGTAAGAAGCATTTGAAAGTCCTGGAGTGGCCTAGCCAGTCTCCAGACCTCAACCCCATAGAAAATCTGTGGAGGGAGTTGAAAGTCCGTGTTGCTCGGTGACAGCCCCAAAACATCACTGCTCTCGAGAAGATCTGCATGGAGGAATGGGCCAAAATACCAGCTACTGTGTGTGCAAACCTGGTAAAGACCTATAGTAATCGTTTGACCTCTGTTTTGCCAACAAAGGTTATGTTACAAAGTATTGAGTTGAATTTTTGTTATTGACCAAATACATATTTTCCACCCAGATTTACAAATAAATTCTTTAAAAATCCTGCCATGTGAATTCATGGATATTTTTTTCACATTCTGTCTCTCACAGTTGAAGTGTACCTATGATGTAAATTACTGACCTCTGTCATCATTTTAAGTGGGAGAACTTGCACAATTGGTGGCTGACTAAATACTTTTTTGCCCCACTGTAACTCACAATTAACCACATTTTTCATGTTTCTAATGCTTTTAAGCTACAGGAGCAGACAATTGTATCTCCTTTATGAAACTGTGGAATCCTGTTGTGATCACCGGACCAAATATGTGAGAGAAAATTATGTCCTAAAAGGGGCATTATTTAATTGCATATTTGTGTTTTGTCAACACTTAACTTCTCAGTGGCCTAGTGGTATGTAGTGATGGGAACTCTGGCTATTTTACAGCTGGTTTTCAAAGGACACAACTCAGAGTAACTCAGATTATTGCAGCTCAGCCCGACCACATTCTCCAAGATCACAGGTAGGTATCTTCCCTCTACTTTTTCCCAATTTTAGTCTCTGCTCCGTTGACGTTCCTAGCAAGGCTGAGTTGGGACATTATCACAGCAGTGGCCGCTGATTGGCTAGGGGGTAGAGTCACTGGTTGCTCCGGAGTTTTCTGCCTGCTGCTTCACTGCCTGCAGCCATTTCCTTTAGAGTCTGACAAAAAGCCATAAAACTCAGCAGAATGCCCAACAACACTACCATTTTTGTGCCGAGTTGTGTTTCTGTGGAGCATACAGTTTACCCATACACCGTTTACTGATCACCTCATGCTATTTTTGTCACGCCGTGATTTAAGCTAAGATAATAAAAGCTAGGGATTTAAATATTACTACTTTAGATTATCTAACACATCTTTGTGCAGATTAACAAAAATATAAACATCTCAAATGTAGCATTAAGGATTGGCAACATACGTACTATATGATCAACAAGATGTGATAATTCCATATAAATATGAAATATCATCTGATTGTTCTTTGAATGTTTAATCAGAAGACTTCAGTTTATTTTACTTATTCAGGGACCATAAACACACACCATGTTAATTCAGACAGAGTCAAGTATATAGTTTATAAAAAGGAATTTATTTCTATTTTCCTAAACTAATGATTATAACAAGGTATGAAAAGGGTTGGGCATAGTTTAATTTTGAACGATTCCAATTCCTTGTTTCGATTCCGGTTCCTATAGATTCCCGATTCCGATTCTTTCAAGACATTACATATTTTCAGGGCTGCAACAAACGATTATTTTCATAATCGATTAATCTGTCGATTATTTTTTCGATTAATCGGTTTGTTATTGTTTAGCTATTTAACCTATACAAGTGATGCATGCATTTCAGTTAAGAAAAAAAACATAAGAGAATTGTGCAGTTGACTGCAATCTATTTTATTGCACATGAACACAGTCAGCAGTGTAAAATGAGCTAAACAGTGCAGAATATCAGTCCAGAATAATTTTTTAGCATTAGATGGAAGCCTGCTCCTTCCACCATGGATAGTGGCCTCATGTCTTTTACCAGCATGTTTAGAATAGAGTTTGTAAGTGGTATGCATTGCTGGGGGGTGAGTGTCTTATTCCCCAGGTAGTTGTCCATCGTTGCTTGTTTTTTTCTGCATAAGAAACACAAATTGACTGAAATAAGTACACATATAAAATAAAGCAGCACACACACTAAAACACTAAATCAATATTATATTATTTGAACTAATTAACAATATACAGTGATCATTTATTTTGAGGGTTACGTTCTACAAAATAGCCCGCAACAGGAGATATTCAGAAAAAAAGTCAATTTTTTTTTTACTATTAAAAAGCTCTAAGTAAGAAGCTTGTGAGGTTTTTACTTTGAGTCGGGAATGTTTAATAGTAAAAAAAAAAATTTACTTTCTGAATTTCTCCTGTATTTAAAAATTGAAAGCGTACAACTATGCCGCGTTATATTCACCTGGACACAGCTCGTCTGTATATTTTTCTCCACGGAGTTGTCCTTTTTTGAATGAGGAACATAGTTATGGGTTTGTGCCGTTTTTCTCTTAACAAGAACATTCTTATAAACAGACGTGCTAAATTTGGCAAGCGCATGATACACAACACGGAGGAGATTCACGATTGCATTTAGTCAATCAGAAGTAGAACACCGTAGACTGACGCGGCAAAAAAAAAAACATGTTTAACATCCACTATAATGAACTCGACTAACACCAAGTCCCAAATTTGATCTGCGTGTAGTATATTTAGTTTGTTTATTTTGTGTTACTTACCGGGCTGGCTCTTCCTCTGCTGCATCAGCCCCCACATGTTTTCGTCTCAAATGTTCACTTAGGGACGTCGTGCTTCCGTGCCATGCTAGATGGTTTTTGCATATTTTGCAGGTCACTCGTCTTTTCATGGCATCTAGAGTGAAGTGCTCCCATACTCGTGAGGTTTTTGTCCGGGGTTTCTCTTATTTTGTCGCTTCTAATTTTCTTCCGTATTTCTTCGTGTTCCGCCATCTCTCAAAGCAAGATGCGCGTCAGTAACGTGTTACGTCACGAAAACCGAGGGCACTTATTGGCTCGTTTCTTCTTCTATGGCTCCACTGGTAGATCAGTGGCTCATTACTGCCACACACTGGCGGCAAATTTAACAGATTGTAACCGATGTCAGATTGTGGTAAAAATAGACTTTATGCGGTAAAATGTGATTATTAAACAACTAATCGATGACTAAAAAAGTTGTTAACTACTTTAATAATCGATTATAATTGGCTCGTTTCTTCTTCTATGGCTCCACTGGTAGATCAGTGGCTCATTACTGCCACACACTGGCGGCAAATTTAACAGATTGTAACCGATGTCAGATTGTGGTAAAAATAGACTTTATGCGGTAAAATGTGATTATTAAACAACTAATCGATGACTAAAAAAGTTGTTAACTACTTTAATAATCGATTATAATCGATTAATTGTTTCAGCTCTACATATTTTACATGAGCCAGCTAACCACAGGTCCTATTTTATGAAATAATCTTAACTTCAATATGAATTTTAATTCTATGAACAATAACATCACCTTCATTTAGACCAAAACATGTTTTGGAGAAAAAAAAGAAAAAGACTTGCAGCTCAACCAGTGTGTTTGTTTCTGACCACAACCAAAGTCTGGAAGAAGCCTCTGGGATGAGAGGCTAAATGTCTCCAACATATCCAGAAACGTCCAGCTGTTTTCAGCTAAAACTCTCAGGATGATCATGTCCAGGATGACTGAGAACTACACCTCCATGCTGCAGCAGCATTCAATCAGAACAGAAAGTGAAACTTACATGCAGCTGCTGTTAGTAACAATGTAACAGATTATAAACATTAAAACTCTCAACAGAAACTGTTCCGAAATAAATTTAAAATTTCACAACTTTGAGTGTGATTTATTATTATTTTTATAATTATTTATTGTTGCAGAAGCTGGTGTGGTCCACCACTGCGAAGCAGCTCTAGCATGATGACTTTAGTTATTCTACGGGTTATTGTTCAGCCTTCTGATGCTCACGCTCACACACACACAAGTGTTGGTGAGCGGCTGCGTTTGACTACTGACGCTCCGCGTGTTTTTATTTCTGCAGCGAGACAAACTCACCTCACATCTTCCAGAGTTTGTTCTTTAAAGCTTCTATTAAATCCACCGTGTTGACGTATTTTAACAAGTTTCCTCTACAGGAATTAAAGTTTACATTACGGAGTGAAAGTCCGGCAGACAAGTTTTGTTTATTTCTGGCTGCTGCGCGCCGGGTGGGGGGACTTGGTGCTGCACACAGACAGCTGATGTGATCAGCTCTGAAAAGCGATGATCACAATTTCCAGATCACGTTTATTTTTCACAGAGATCGGCCGCAGATTCCTCTTCCGTCGGCATTCTAGGAATCGAAAACAAATACTTTGAACAATTCCGGGAAAAACTAACAGTTGGGACCAGTTTCAATCGATGCCCAACTCTAATCCTGATAAGCCTACCCAGTCTCTCCAGTAGCAGGTGATGGTCAACAGTGTCAAAGGCTGCAGTCAGGTCCAGCAGGACCAGAACAGAACAGTCCCCTGCATCACTGTGAGTCAGAAGGTCATTAGAGACCCTAAGAAGAGCTGTTTCAGTAGAATGAGCTCTACGAAAACCTGACTGGAAGCTATCATAGATGTTCTGTTCATCAAGAGCAGCTGTGAGTTGTTTAGCCACAACCTTTTCCAAGATCTTGGAGATGAACGGAAGTTTAGAGATGGGTCTGAAGCTGCTATGGAGGGAAGGTAGGGATGCACCGATCAGGTTTTTTGCTACCGATCACCGATACCGATATTAAAGAATGCCGATCACCGATACCGATCACGTGGATTGGCCAGAAATTTTCTACAACATTATAATGAGTACTACAAACTACAAAATCTGGGAATAAAGGAAATGTAACCTAATCTAAAATGGTCTGTGTTAGGGTTGTCACGGTGTGAAAATTTAACCTCACGGTTATTGTGACCAAAATTACCACGGTTGTAGATATTATCGCGGTATTTTTTTTAAACGTGCTACATTTTCACACAATTAAATAAACCCTGTATGTCAGGAAATATTGTCCTCAGTTTGTGTCTAAATTTTACCTAAAATGTGTTATTTTGTATTTGTGTTGTTTATTTGTTTACATTTTTCCCCTTCAGTCTTTAAAATACCAATATTTACCCATAACTTCTTATTTATTGTCAGTTTGATGTCATCATTTTAAAAATATTAGATCAGATGATACTCAGTACTCAAGTAGCCTTCTAATCAGATACTTTTTTACCCTTACTTGAGTAATAAACCCTATATCAGGAAAATATTGTCCTCGGTTTGTGTCCTTCCAGTGAGCTTTGCAGATGTGGGAAAATGTCATCAGGCAGTAATCATTGTTAAATTCATAATTATTCTCGGAGAGAGACCAACTCTTATCTGCCCCTGGGAGCCCCGTAATGCATAGCGTCATTTCAATATGGGGGTGTCCGCGACACGCTTTATATGCAGGTAACGGCGCTGCGGCTGCTTTATATAGCGACTCGTTGCATTCTCCCTCAACCCAAATCCTCGGATCACGCATTTTAGCTTAAACGCTAACGTTAGCTTGCCTTGCGTTGACTGTAGAGGTGTGGGTGATGGTCACACAGATGTGTCATGAGATTTGAAGCGTTGCTGCCTTTCACAGACTCTTCTTCTGCACGTGCTGCAAACAGGATAGCCGTCTTCTATAAACTCCCTCGGCATTCTTCACATATCCAAAACATGCCCGTACTTCCCACTTTGTCTTCTTTGAGGGATAAAAAATGTCCTCCTGAGCGCTGCCGTCTCCTCATTTGGCCATTATTTCAGCTTTAGCTTCAAGAAAGTTTTGGTTGCAAACAACAAAGTGCGCATGTGCTGCCGGCAACTTCAGCAGATGGTACGGTGGCTGGTAAGGGTCACCGCGCCTACACCGCAGCCACGGTAATCCACCGAGATAATATAGTTTTTTTTTTAAAACAAGACGGTTATTATTGTCAACTTTTTTACCGGGGTTTACCGCTACACTGGTTACCGTGACAACCCTACCTGATCGGTCTGCTTTGATCTATTTTGAAAACTCTGATCAAAACCGACAGGGGCGCTATCGGCCGATTGGGATCAAATGCAGATCCATCGGTGCATCCCTAAGAGAAGGGTCAAGATTTGTTTTTTAAGAAGCGGGTTGATTACAGCATTCTTAAATTAAGCAGGGACCTGACCAGAGACCAGAGACACATTAATTATAGAGAGCACGCTGGGACCTATGGACTGAAAAGCACTTTTAAACAAAGATGAGGGTAAGATGTTGAGGGGGCATGCAGAGGTCTTCATAGAGTTAACTAGTTTGGTTAACTCAGGCAAAGAAACAGGAGCAAAGCTATCTAGGATGACAGATCGGATTGGAGTCGGGAGAGGCAAAGATAAGGCTGAGGGAGAGATGCTAGGTCTAATCTTGTTGACTTTGTCCACAAAGAAAGACGGAAAGTGGATGATAAAAAAAAATCACTAAACTTCTGAAGGAAAGAGCTGTTTGGACCAGGTGAACGATAGACCACAGCACAGTAGAACGAGTCCTTGCGCCCGACTTTAATCAGCTGCAGTTCAAAGGAAGCAAAGCCACCAGAGGTTGTAGAGCTACGTAGAAGATGGTCTCTAAAAACAACAGCTAGGCCTCCACCATGACTAGAACCCCGGGCTGGCTAAGAAATGAATAACCACTTGGGCAGAGTTAAATCTGACCAGAATAATCAGATGTTTGTTTGCCAAACTTCGGTTCAGAAAATCTAGGTTTTTAGAGAGAATTAGATGATTGAGCAGGAAGGACTTATTGTTAACAGAGCGGGTATTTAATAGAGCCATGCTGAGTGAGGTGGAGGAATCAGAAACTACAGAAACAGCTGGAGTTAGTGGACGTAAATTAGCAGGATTAGATCTGAGGTGTGTATAAAAACCACTTATGGAGGGAACAGGAGGAGAAACCACTGAAGAATGAGGATAAACAGACATTAGAAAACAAACTGCGAACGCATCGCGACCTGGCGGGAATGCGAAAGTGGCGCTCTGGTCGCCAAAGGACAAGAAGATAAAAGATCATGCCAATGTTTACTAGGTAGACCACGCTTTAAGAAAAGTCTTATTCTCACCTGGATTCCTGCCTGGTTACCCCTATTCCTATGATGTTTTTCTGGGATTGGATTAACATCGCTGGAATGGTTTGGGTAGAAATCAGCGTTTGGCTCCGGGCAAACGGAAGGACAAAAGAGTCTGGCTATCATAGGAGATGGTAGCCAGGACACTACCGAGGAGGAGCGCAGACAGGAGCAAGGCAGAAAAGAGGTTAGTGAAGAAGTTTGAAAACGTGGCCTGTGATAGCGGCTAAGCCAAGCACAGGCGCCATCCTGTTACTGACCCGGATGCTAGACTGGATCTTTTTTTTCCTACCGTGCATGCTGGTGGTGGTGGTGTAATGGTGTGGGGGATGTTTTCGTGGCACACTTTAGGCCCCTTAGTTCCAATTGGGCATTGTTTAAATGCCACGGGCTACCTGAGTATTTTTTCTGACCATGTCCATCCCTTCATGACCCCCATGTCCCCATCCTCTGATGGCTACTTCCAGCAGGATAATGCCCCATGTCATAAAGCTCCAACCATTTCAAATTGGTTTCTTGAACATGACAATGAGTTCATTGTACTACAATGGCCCCACAATCACCAGATCTCAAACCGATAGTACATCTTTGGGATGTGGTGGAATGGGAGTTTCGTGCTCTGGATGTGCATCCCACAAAATCTCCATCCACTGGAAAATGCTATCCTAATATTTCTAAAGAATGCTTTCAGCGCCTTGTTGAATCAATGCCACGTAGAATTATGGTAGTTCTGAAGGTGAAAGGAGGTCAAACACCATATTAGTATGGTGTATTAGTATGAGAACTCGTATTAGTATGGTGTTCCTAATAATACTTTAGGTGAGTGTATGTGTATAGCATGAAGCTATACAGCATGAAGCGGGTGCGGGCGGGAGTGTAACACACACGTTACGGTTGCGGGCGGTAATGGTCAGAAATTCAGCGGGAGCGGGCAGGAGCAGGATGAAGAAAACAGTCCCGCGCAGGGCTCTAACATGGGCCGATAAGGGGTCTATAAGCCTAAAAAGTGTTGTTTTTAAAAGTCCATTATTGTGATGTCACAGTAAGGAAAATGAGCATAGACCCCCCGCTCTCCTCACCTGTTGACCCTGGAGGAGCAGCAGCTCTGTTCTCAGCCTCAGGAAACAGTGAATAAAGGAGCTGGTGTCTGTCTGGTTCTGGTTCATCGTGGTCTCTTTCCTCATCAGCAGGAGTCACAAGGGAGGTAGCCGTCTCCTGCTTCAGTACAAACTGCTCTTCATCCTGACTGATGCTGAGCTCCTCTTGTTCTAGAATCTGTAAAGGTTCTGGCTCATCCTGCTCCACTTTCATCTGTGGAGGTTCTGGTTCCTCCTGTAAAGGTTCTGGTTGTTCCTGGTCCAAACTGGAGGTCCTCTCCTGGTTCCAGAGCTGCTGGTCAGTCAGAACCTCCTCATCTCTCCTGACATAATGCAGCGGGAGTTCTGGACAGACAAACGGGCCAGACTAAGTAACAATAATAGAATAGAATAGACTTTATTGATCCAAGGGTGGGAAAATTTGCTTGTTACAGCACTTGAGAGAATAATTAGAAGAAAAATATTAACAAAGATACATGTATATACACATGGGCAGTAGCCTGGAATTGTAACCTTCGACCACTAAAAACCACAAATAAAAAGAAAAAACTTGGGTTCTAACACGATGCAGCATACTGCACCAGACACAGACAAACTATGTAAATCTGGTTTTAAATGAGTAATGAACACATACTGAATATGCTGCACCAGTTGCATTGGTGTTATTGTGTAACAGGGTATACCAGTTAGAGCCCTGCATGGGCCTAAAATCTGTGCCCGTGTCCGGCCTGGCCCGAGGAGGCGGAGCCCGACCCTAGGGCTGCCACGATTAGTCCACTCGTCATGATGCAACCCCTAATAGGTTACTGATATCTTTACGCACAGCAGAAGGTGAGAGACTATGCGCTCATGGTGGGCTTCAGCAGGTTAAAAATAAACTGCGTGGAGAAAGCCGGAGCTGGCATCAAACCAGGAGGCCAGACATGTCCACTTTTCACCTATATTACATCATTTATATGGACTCAGCGTACCGGGGGTTCTTTTGAGTGGAGAGCACCGAGAGCAGCAGAGCGCTGATCGTTGGTGCGCTCCTGGCAGCTGCATTCTACGCACGGTACATTCTCAAAGTGGAGCAACCAAAAAAACTATAATTAACACACGATCGTCCTCTGGTACTCTGTCTTTTAATCGTGCCTGACGCACTCGCTCATCATGTGCTGCGCTGATTTCACCTCACTGACGCAGCATCGAAACGCGCGCTCCGCTTTGCGGTCAGGATATCCCTTTGATCTGCTCAAAAGTAACTCGTGAGGTGAAAAAGTACGAAGCCAGGCAGCAGTTTTTCTGGAGAGTTTAGAGGAGATGCTGGAAGATGAGAAAGACAGGACAGGTAAATAGTTAAATAAAAACAAGAAAACAAAGAAAAATGTTTGAAAAGTTAAATGTAAGTAGATTTATCTCCACTATACGTTTTTACCTGTGTAAAGTTATACACATGTAATATTTATACATTTGATACAATTCAGATCACCTTCAAAACTCAGAAACACCCAGGGCCGTTTCGAGGCATTTTGGGTGCCAAGGCCAAACAGAACACCCCCCTGTCACTGGGCTCCCCCACAAGCCTCTGTGTAATTGTGACAAACGTTCTTTTTCATTGATCCCATCGACGAATCTCACAGCTGAATCAACGCATTCTTAATAATCTGAAGCCTTAACAACGCTGTAGTAAAACACAAGGTATAATCATTTCTTATTAATATAACGTTGTTGCAGCACTGAAGCAGCAGAAAATTGACATTTTGCAATTAATATGTAAAACATTTACATATTAATTGTTTTAGAGCCGTTCTGTTGGCAGAATCTGATATTAATTTTAGCTGTAAGCTAGGTGTGCTGACAGAACGCCGGGAAATGGGTCCCAACGTGGTTTGGGTGGCGCTGTCATGTCACAGTGATAATGAAAGGCGGGATGAAAATCTTCACCTTTTTCTGTACTTCATTTTGTTGCACTGGAATTTCATGTTGTGCCATATTTAGGAACAGCAGAATGCAAGGTTGTATGCAATCTGCTATTATTGTAGAATAATCTAGAACAGGCTTGAACAGTGTGGGTGTTGTAGTTTTTGAGCAACAGCTGTTCCAGTGTTGGACAGATGCTGAAAAAACGCATAAATCAGGCTTTGTTGAAGTTTCACAAATCCCAAACAAGGTTGTATGCAATCAGCTATTATTGAAGAATAATCTACGACACGTTTGAAGAGTGTGGGTGTTGTAATTTTTGACCTAGAGCAGATTAAAGATGGTCAGAGTAGACAAAAATTGGGTGTGACAAAAATTGGGTGTAATGGCCCTTTAGCAGTTTACCCGAATCGTTAGCTGGAATCGGAAGGTAACTTCAGCCTCGTTCAGTTGTGTCAAAGAGCTTCAGAGCAGCAGACGGACCCAAGCAGACTGTCCTGAGATTGTGTCCTCAGTAAAACCTCACGAGTCCCGCTGCTGTTTCATACCTATTCTGTGTAAGTTGATCTGTGGTTTCCAGCTGATCTCCAGCAGTCTGCGCTGACGATCGATCTCTTCCTCGTAGCGGACGATGGTTTGTTCAAACTCGGAGAATATTTCTGCAGCAGCAGCAGTTAGCCGCTCTCTGATAAACTCTCTCAGAGACTGAGATGAAGACATTGTTGCTGCAGAGCCTCAGAGGTTCACCTCACACACCGAACAATAAGCTAACGCTGCTAACAGCTTTGGTTCGCGAAGAACGTCCAGGGAAGGTCCCGCCTTTCTCGCTTCTGATTGGCTAGAGCCTCAGTCTCCTCCCTATCCGGTCGGGTCATGGGTCCCCGGAAAAACGAAAAAACGAATGCAAGTCAGTGGAGCTAAAATTGCTGTTTTCTAATCCGCTTTGCGTTACGCTCTGGATTGCACATATGTTGTACTCCAATTTAAATGAAAAGTAATGATGGGTGTTTCTACCAAGCCAGTCACGTACTTTGAGATTTATCAGCTTGTAAATGTTCGTAATTAGCATGACTACAAACTGTTTTAAAAAATAACTTTATTAGAATAATACATGACAATGGGTACTTGTGCAACATGCACAAGGAACATTACAAACAGGCCAGAGGGTCTTAAAGCATATTGCGATGTGTAAAAAAGAGGACAAGAATAAAATTAAACTCATTATGCCATGCTCAGATCCTTCAGAAGTTGAAATGTTCTTATAGCCTTTGTGCTCTTCACATGTTGAATTGTTTCGTAATACAGTTTCCAGTCCACAAGAAATATTTTAAAGCAAGGTTGTGAATTAGACCATTTGCATTTGTGGATATGAAATTTTCCAAGGATGACAAACAGTGGACTAACATACATTTTTGGACAAACTACGAAAATCACAATATAACATTACACCAAAAATTCTTATACTGGTGTTGACTTTCAATTTTGTGACAATAAATTCTTCCTGTTCAGACCAAAATCTTTTGGTGTATAAAAAGTGATAAAATAAATTAAATATTGTTCCTCTACTTGACTGGCAGAATGTACACGACTCTTCCATATTTATTTTGAATCTTTAAAGTATATCTTTTATCTTTTACAGGGTAAATGTGGTGCAAGATTTTAAATGAAACTTCTTTAATTGTATTATTAATGCAATATTTATGTATTGTAGTATTGGCCTTCTTCCAATTTAGGTAACCCATGGTTGAATACCAAAAAAACTTTGCAGCAGTTGGGACCGAACAAGAAATTTGGGTTCTAACATATTTATTAGTACATCTTTCCCTTGTAATCTCTACAGCTCCAACAAAAATTCTATTAGTTTCAGCATTATGTTCAAATGTCACGCCTTTTAGGATCTGTAGTGACCCTGCAGGGATTGCATCAAATACCACTGCGTATTCCTTCGGCGTCACTGGGAAATTGAAGAACTGCAGAAATTCTGAATATGACATTAGAAAACCATTTTTATTCAGTAACTGACCTACTAACAGGATTCCTCTGTCAAACCATGTCCGATAAAACAAGGATTTCTTTGTTGTTCCAGATAAAATACCTATGTGGGCTAAAATTATGTTTATACATCAAGATCCAGGATAACAGGGCTTGTTAATGGAACTCAGCTAATTTCAAGGGAATTTTATCAATAGAAAAATTACATTTCAGCAAAAAGTTTATGCCACCGAGGGTATTGAATACATATGCTGGAAAAGCATTCCAGATAATAGGATTTCTTAAGAATTCGATGAGCCATTTGATTTTAAACGTGTTATTTACAGTATTAAAATCTAGTACATTCAGACCACCTTGTTCTCTATGTCCCGTGATAACATCTTTTTTAAGATAATGAGGTTTTTTCTCCAAATATAGTCGTATAATATTTTATCTATTTTTTAAATTGTAGTTTTTTTTTATGTCTAGTGACAAGGTAACCTATACAGAGCGTGATATGCCTTCTGCCTTTGTTATTACAACTCTGCCAAATAAAGACAAGTCTCTCATTAACCATGAATTAAGTTTATATTGTGTTTTTTTAACAATTGGATCAAAGTTTAACTTGTGACGTTCCTCCTTATTTTTACATATTATAACTCCAAGTTAAGTTACTGTCTTATTAATTGGTATGCCATCAAAGCTGGTCAAATTGCAGTCCTTTAACCCTTACCTCACATTAGAGCATTTTTTTGTGCTGACACGTGTATTTTTGTGAATAACTTTGGCTATGTTAATGCAATTTATCTAATTTTTATGGAGGATGTGTATTTTGTAAGGAATTACAAAAAAAAGTTTGAAAAAATATTCAACCTACTTTATTAAAACGTGGAAATCATTTTGTACAGTTAAGCACACTGAAGCATTTTTTTGTGCCATTGACTTTCATGTAAATCATATATTTTTAATTAGCATAAATATTGGCATAATTTAAAAAAAATTATGATTGTGCCCATGTTTACAGTCTCATCACAAATGTAAGAAGCAGTTTTTGCCGTTTTAGGCTCTTTTATGAAAGATGAACCATCCTACATTTTAATTTGTGATATTAATTTGTAATAAATTAATAACCAAATTTTATAGTTTTAAGAAGACTCAAAGGTTGTTTTCATCGATAAACTGTCGATAATATCCGTGGGTCTGTGTTTCAGTTCAATGAAGAGACAAGTTTGAAAGTTAAAAGATTTAATTCTTCAAATTAAACTAATGATTTTGAAATGACAAGCATAGGAAACAACAATCAACATTGGCAACTTTGTTGAACAATCTTTAACAGTTGATATTTTAAACTTGCTCAAATAGACCTTGTGTTGAACGTATGATAATTGAGAATAAGGTGAGATGAATGCGTGTGTGCGTCTGATTTTGCTTCAGGAAGAAACAGGTGTCTGAGTGAAAAGTGATGGTTTGAGTAAACTTAGGTTTCGTTGGAAAAGATGCATCAAACGCTATCTGTCGTGGACTGCCTCACCGTATTCGGACCCTCTTTTAGACCCGGGACGTCAAAGGACGATGTTTCATCCAGGGCACCTTGGCTGGCAGAGAAGACGAAGGTGTCCGACGCTCCGGTCCAGAGATGACCTCGGTACACGTGATGATGAAGCGTTTGCAGATGCGCTTTCTTAAGTTTAAATTACTCAGAAAATCAAAGACTCTGGACGAGTCTGCGTTAGCGGTTGTAATTCAGCTATTCCTGTGTGGCTTGGCAGGAACAGCGTGAGGGGGGGAGAAAGGAGCCGCAGCCCCGTTCCCCGTTGTTCACAAGTCCTCCCTCTTTCGTTTCAAACACCGAACTGAATCATGAACTGAAAACTTACCAAAAGCCTTTCTCTTCTCAAAGCAAACGTGTGTGTCAGAGCAAATGTGTTTTGGAGTTTACTGTGAGAGTTTGTGTGTGTGTGTGAGTGTGTGAAGGTCGTTACCAAGCATCCTCAAAACATTATTTAATTAAGCATTGATTCATTAGTTATAATGATTACCCAAAGCATAATAATCATTCATTTGATTAAAACACATTTATAATGAGCAAAGTGATAATACTGATCATTTAACAACTTAAAATAAAGGAAATGAAGTTTAAGACTTTGTTATGTTATGACTAGCTTTTCCATGAGAACACATCTTCTGGCACTGCAGGTGTTCAGATGTTATGGTTTCTCCCAGACTCGCTGGCGTTCAGGTCTTAATCTGTGGGTGAAAGTTCTCAGCGACCCAGCTTTGACCCAGCCGAGTCAAATGAAACCTTTGGCACAGAAAACCCATATTTCCTCACGTTACATGACTAATAAGATGTGATGATTCCATATAAATATAAAACATCAACTGATTGATCTTTGAATGTTTAATCAGAAGATTCTAGGGTTCTTTGCTTCTTCAGGGACCATAAACACACTTCGTATTAATTCAGACAGTCAGATATATAGTTTATTAAATTAATTTAATTATTTTTCCTAAACTAGTGATTATACACTACAAGAAATGAATAATGAGATGTGGTGTAATGGATATGGAGTGATTTAATGTAATTGTAAAGCAAGCTAGACGTTTCTGCAAAACCATTCTTTGTATCTGAGAGAAATTGTGAAGTCTGGGTTGTAAAGGTGAATTGGCTGTTTCTTTAGTAAACTACCGATTTGTTTATTTAAAAACCATCCGACGCAATCTGTGCCAAGTCAACGCACCCTTTGTGCGGAGGTTCTCATTCGATCCAAGGGGTCGAAAGGGACAATGCCGGTGAAGTGAACTTCTGATATCAGGAACCTGTAGACTAGCTCCGATTGGTCTCTCTAGTCTGAGATCCCTCCAGGTGACAGCATGAAGCTGGAATGCTTGTTTACGTCTAAGGCTGGTTTGGGCTGTATCAGCTTGCAGCGTTGCAGAGGCTTTGACCACTGCTGGACTGACCATAGGGCATAGCGGGCAACTGCCCGCTGGGCCGACCCTTTCATCTTTTATGGGCCGGTGTCTGTTTTTTTTTTTTTTTTTTTCCCTAGTCTCTAGTTGTTGCGGACAACTTGTCCGCGCCGCCCCACGTGACGCCTCGTAAAAGTTGGTGGATTGGCCAATTGGTAATAATACACTCTGGGCTGGACCAATAGCCAGAGGTCTGATGCACCCGCCAGTTGTTTGTGAATCTCAGTAAACAGACAGACGAGCTTTACAAAATAGAGAACAAAAAACGGAAAGCAGGAGCGGAGAAAAATCGAGTAAAAAAGAAACTGGCCCTTCAGGCTGATGCTGGCACATGTGTTAAAATCTCACAGTTGTTTGGTAGTGAAGGTTCAAGTAAAATCAATTTAGGAAGTGATGGAGCCTCAGCCCAGCGACAGGTTAGAGAAGAAAAGAGGGAGGAGGAGGAGAAACCCGAGCCGGTGTTGTGCCATTAATCGTTTCGCTGCCAAAAAATGATTAGCCACCGCGGGATCGCGCACGGTTAGGTAATTGCATTTCTAGACAAAATTCCCCAGGATTTCGCCCTAAAACTCAGCATATCTAGCAATATGGACATTCAGAAAGCAAAGATAACCTCTTCCGGTACTTAAACAGATGTTTATCGCGGATATTAGTGTGGCAGACAGGGAGCACGAGGACGTGCTTGTGGAAAGAGGGAGGAAGATGTGGCAGTGTGAGCATCCTGTCACAATGTCTTGATTAATCTTGCGCCCTGGCTACCTAGCCAAGGGGATGTCCATTTGGCTGACTGGTTAGAGCGTATGTCTCTCACCCCAGAAGTCTGGGGATCGAATACAACCCGGGCCGTCGTTTATCCACCTTGCCACGTTAGTT